TTGATATAATACCATCATGAATATGCTTTAAAGTATCCAAATGTGGGTGCATGGCGTTTTTTTTTACCGTAAAAAAAGAAATTGATTAGGCATCACTTCAAATATCAATGCCATTAATTTGTTGAAATTATATTTCAAATATTTATTATGGCACCATAATATCTCATAATAAAGTTAATTTATTTGATTGGTAAAAGTTATCCAATATTCTTTAATTGAATATGTTGCTTTATTTGCCTTTATATTTTAAGATGTAATTACTTTATTTGTTGCATAGCTTATTTAAGTTAAGGCGTGAGATATTTGAGAAGATATATGTAAAATTTGTTTTTGGAAATTTGTTGACTACATTAATTTGGTGTAGGCACTGATTATTATTATTTTTTCTAGCTTTAAATAAAAAATGTTATATATGGTCTTTACTTGCACTACTTCGAGCACGTGCCAGAAAATAATTTTTGATCATTCCACAAATTAATATCTAAAATGAGGGGTTGTGTGAATGTATTGATATGTTTATGATGGATTCAAAATTTTGAGAAAATTAGAACGGGAAATATTGTACGGCAAGATTCTAATTTGATAAGAATCATTATCTATGAGACATGAAATATTTAAAAGTGTGGGGGTGTTTAACAAAAATTATTTTGCTTTATTAAAAAAATTATATATACATGTGTTGTACTAAATTGTTAGCATCATTTTATAAATACCAAGATATTATTCTATTGTGATTTAGAGGAAAATTAATTAAGAGAAGGCTATTATTTGCATAGTGGCAAAATTTGTTAATCATGAAATTTGTGTCACTTAGCTTGAAACAAGCATTGTAATGGTGGTCAAAATTTAATTATGTAGATAAATTTATTTTAAAATAGGTATGTTACCTGTTTAATTATCTTGGTATCAATATTCATGTTTATAAATAATGATTTGTTCATCCCAAAGGTGGATAATATGTGTTATGGTCCCATGAAATAAATAGAATATTTTCTAAATTGTGGATTGTGAATAGTAGACCCTTGGTGAATAAAATACACAGATATTAATGTGGGAAGATTCACTAGTGATTATCCACTTTTAGTGATGATAGAAATAAGTATAATAACAAGATCATAAAGTTTTTATTCTGAAATTGGAGGCTAAGTTGTGAAAAATCTCCATAGCAATTATTTTGGTGTAAGTCTGACACTCAATATTGATGAGCTTTTATGATATAGTTATGTTACGTAAAAATTGAGCATATTAAATAGTCTCATGAGAGGATAAGACAAACGAACGTTTGAGAGATACCATAAATGTTGGTATCACATAAAATGAATTTCCATTGTATTAAAATAATACAATGATGTAGAGTTAATTTTATATTCATGAGGAAAAACCCATTTATAGCCAAATAAAATATGTGAGCCAGAGTATAATACTCTAAATTGGCTAAAAATGAGGCTAATTAGTTTAGAAACTTCTTAGTGAATAATATTGCATTAAGAGTAAAACCGACACAGATCATGTCGATGATTTGTGTAATTGGCAAATGGCGATAGTTATTGCAAAGAGAACAATGACCAAATGGTGACAGTCATTGCAAAGAGAATAATGGCATAGGTAGATATCGTTTGAGATATAATTAAGCATGCTAAAAAAGAAAGTTATCTCAATCGATTATGTAAAATCAGATGTAAATCTGACAGATTCGTTAACTAGCCCCTGAGGAAGAATTTTATTGTCGAGTGAAATGGAACTTAAGCCAATTTGAAATTAACGGTGATGGCAACCCAACCTTTATGATTGGAGATCCCATGAAAAAGGTTCAATGGGTAAGAACAAGTCACTTATTAGTTCTACTAGCACTAAATTTTTGTCCCTTCCTATGGCTTGAGATAGTGCTAGAATGCATTAATCAGAGGCTGAGCAAAAGCTCTTAATGTTTTTCATATTCATTATGGATGGTATATTCATTGCAGATACACTTGATGAAAACACCTATACAAATGTGGAGTGGGGCCACTCCTATGAGATTGTGGCAAAATCTCTAGAACATTTGTTAAAACCAGGCGCGCTCATAGCTGATAATGTACAAAACCGCGTTAACAATGGAAATTGTGGGGGTATAATCCGACTAATAAGACCTCTAACACACGACCAAGATCTGTTGGTTCAATAACAAAGTTACACAAACTTTTCTACGTGTTAAGTTTTATTGGTCTAGGTTTGGTTCAAGTCGAAAGACACTAAATTCGAAGTGATTATCTTTTGTGAAAATAACTCAGATGATAGTGGTCCTTTTGACACATATGGGGGATTGTTACTATTGTGTCAAAAAGGAAAGTCCCGTATTGCTCAAATGAATGAAGCCTTAGTTTATAGATACTAAGGTGTGAACTTGGGTTAATAAATGAGCTTAGAGGAGAAATAGGCTCTTGCATACAATTGCACACAAGTTAGATGTAATTCTGGGCAATTTTTCAAAATTTTGAAAACTATTTTTTGGAGATACAAAATTATTTGTATAAGATATTTTTTTTTTAAAAATTTCCTTCCTTTTGAAATATGTGGGGGATTGTTGGATATTATAAATATTTTTGAGTATTTCAAAAGGAATTATTATAAATTAATAATATTAATTATTATTTAAGCCTATTCATTATTTTATAACATAAAATTTAAATAACATTACTATTTGAAACCGTTTTTAATTGTGATTAAGGTGGTTTTATTGCCCAGCATTATGAGATCTGTCTATAAAAGGCAATACTTGCCACAGGTTCAGAGAGAGACTTGATATTCTCGACCTTTCTCTCCTCTTCTATCATTCTAGTTCATTGTGTGAATTTCTATTGTTCTGTGTCCCTACTTTTAGTAGGAAGAGTCTATTTAATCTTGGAGAGCTGCCGCGCGATCAACCCGGTGTGGCGGAATAGCTCTTAAGGACAGTGTCCTTGGACACAACTCAGACTAGATTTCATTAGCTATCGCCAACATTTTTTATGAAAACACAAAATTTTAACATTAAACTTATAAGATTATTTATTTAGTTACTTGAATTTGTTACTTATTCTTTTAGATTTGCAACTTTATCTACTATAATGTGTAACGCTACATCTCAATTTTATTTATAAACATAATCTCAATATTTATTTTTTCATGTGAAATTATTTGTTCAATTCCAAGAATTTGTAATTTACTTTACCTAATGCGCAAGATCATTTACCTTAATTTACAACTAGAGTTTCAAATATTATTTAGAAATTCATAAATAAAATTTCTTAAAGAAAATGAATACTGAAATTTTGTGTCCATAAATAAAATTGCAATATAAAGTTGCAAATATGAGAAAGAAAATTGCAAATACCTATGGCTCACAAAATAACATTATAAATTCAAGGTTGAATGAATTTTTAATAAAATTTAGAAATTAAATTGCAAACTAAGGTAAATAGAATTATAACTGTAGAGAGTAAGTTGCAAAATCTTAAAATTTAAAAAAATAATTTCTTATGAGAAAAACAAATATTGAGACTGTGTTCATAAATAAAATTGAGATAGGTAGTTGCAAATCGTAGTAGATAAAGCTACAAATCTAAGACAGTAAGTTGCAAATTCCTGGGACTGAATAAATAATTTTATAAATTCAATATTAAAACTTTGTGTTTTTTTTTATAAAAAAATTGTATTCTTAAATTAAAATGGGAAATTTAATTGTAAATCAAGGTAAAAGGAGTTGCAAATTTCCAAAAATAAGTTGCAAATTTATAAGTTTAAAATTTTGTCAAAAGATCAATTAAGGAGTAAGAGACTTTTTTTATATCTTGAAATTTGGTGAGATTTTACCGAGATAAAATAATTTTTTTGGAACATAAGTGTCATTCTTCCTAATTTTTTTTTTGTACCGGCTTCTTCAGGTTAAGCTTTGGCAACTTTCAAAGTCCTACGGGAGGAGACTCACTGAATTGATAAATTCATGATTATCTAGTTACCTACTCGTAACTCTTCTAACATATATCATCAAGTTGGTTTTTTTTTTGCTAGTTCTTTAACTTCTACGTGCGAATGCTACTTCACATCATCTAGCATGTGTAGGACAAGCATAACTTGTCCCTTTTGTGTTTTAGTTTCGTTGATGTTGGTATACTTTTTGTTGTTCTTTGTTTGAGTCTATGGGCCTGCAACCTATTCTGGAATAGTTTTTAATTTTCTAAAATAAAAAAAAATTTATTTGAGAATGTATTTTTTAAAAAATATTTTAAAAAACAAAATATTGTTATGAAAAATAGAAAAATAGAAATATTTTTTAAATATTTTGGGATTATTGTTATAAATAATAAGTGAGAATGAAAAAAATACTCATTTTTATTATTTTTTTATTCTTAATATATATTCTATAAAAGATCATTTCTGAACAATAAAATAAAAATAATTTTTAATAGGCTCTATAATTTTCAGTTTGTACACTACTATTCATCTCAGGTTTGTTCGTTGGACTTGTTATTGGATTCATGGAGTTTGTTTGTTTTGTAAGCTGCTTTTCTGCGCCACTTGAGAGTTTCTCCTAGAGGTCTTTTTTCCTAATGTTTGTTGGTTATCGTTTTATGTTTGGTAACATTTGCTTTTTTCAAAAAAGAAATTCATTCAATTGTAACTCAAATATCGATATCATCAATAATAATCAATAAAAAGCCAATTTTTTTTTGGAATAAAACAACATATCATACCAAAAATTTAAACAATCAATCAATTAGATAAGTCTTAAATCTATTAAACTCTATTAAAATTAAATCAAACTAAAATAGAGCCCAAACTTGTTTTATGATCACATAACTTTAACTAAAATAAAAAAATGGGTATTTGGAATTATTAATTTTTTGATAAAATTTATATTTATAATTTATAAATATTAACAAAATAACGGTTTTTTTTTTTTTTTGGTGATTGATTTGATTTGTGCCATCAAGAGTTTATTTTCTCAATAATAACTCGAGCAAAGGGAAAAAATAAAAGGGACGCCAACCCTCTTGCGTTCTTCCGATTAAATCCCTAGCCATCGACGGGGGTCCTCTAACAACTCTGACACTGCCGCCTCATCATCGCCGGTGAATTGCTCAGCTGCGGTAGCCCCCTTTGCTGGTGGACGACTTCAACTATAAAGGCACGTTTGTCTCTTTCTATTTCTCTCATTCATTTTCTAAAACCTATGGAGTTCTTTTTTTCTCTGCGCTGTATAATTCTCTACTAATTGCTGTCTACATCTTAATTGACCCTGAAAAGGCGTTATAAGTCCTCGTTTAGAAATTAATGCGATTGTTGATTCGAATTGTAAATTCTAGTTATAGAATTTTATGGCTTTGCTAAATGGTTGAATCATAATAAATGTTTTTATAACAAATCACTGCTTGAGATGGGCTTTCATGCGGGTGACATTTTGAATCTTCTTTGTTGATGATTATTGCTTCTTCACTAGGTCGCATCTTTTCCTTGCGAAGCAAGTGTTGTCAATTCATTTTTACTTTCACAGAAATTTCTAAATTTCTGAAAATATAAAATATGCGATTAAGCGGGTCTAGTATAGTCTTGCAGGAAATCCAGAAATATGTAGTTCATATCACTGAATAAATAGTGCGGGCTTGGTTAGTAGAGAACAATCTGTATATTGGTAAAGAATGTTAGTCCTTGTGGCAGTACTAGACAAATGTCTGGTCTACGAAAAAATAAACACACCGAAGCTTATACATTAGTCTGTTATTATTATTTATGTAATTCTTCGTCGTCCCAGTGGCTGGCTCCATGTGGCTCTAATATTTTTGTGCCGTTGCATAAGTATCAAGTTGATGCTAAATTTTATGATCAATGCAGAACAGGGAAGGTATGAAACCTTGATGGATATGTATGTTTGCGTACTTGCCATTTTCGATAAACTGTGGAGACAAGGGGAGCAATGAAGCATTTGGAATGATTTATTATGGCCCAGCAGTCATCTAGACTTCAGCGCTTGCTTACTCTCTTGGACAGTATCCTTCTTTGTCTTTAAATATTATATATTTTTATTTTTGAATTTTGTACTTCATTCTGAATTTCTCTTTAACCAAATTCTGTAAAAGCTGGGTCAACCCAAGCAACAAGGTTGACTGCTGCTCGCCAAATCGGGGACATTGCAAAATCTCATCCTCAAGACTTAAGCAGTCTGCTAAAGAAGGTAAGAGTTACTCTTATATTTTATGCTCCCAGCTTTCATTGCATTTTGGGCCATTTACGTTAGATTTTTGACCTTATTTCATTCGTCAGTCTAGTGAGCTATTAGGTTTCAAAAATAATAAGGTTCTGACCTCACCTCTCTCTATTTGTTTAAAATTAATTTGAGAGGCAGAAACCATTTCAGGGCTTCAACCTAATAGCTTAGGCTTCTTAGCTAGTTCTCGTTAATATGCTATCAATACCTTGCCAATCCGATGGTAAAGAGCTCTGACCATTGCCCCCAATATTTTGATCATATGATATGATAATTGCGCAAGGTTGTGGTAGGCTTGTCTTTATCCTTGTTTTAGATTCCAAGGGCATTTATATGACTGAATGTGTTAGATAAAGAAGCCATTTCAGTGTTTAAATGACAGTTTAAACTTGTGGGGTTGTTCTCTTCCAAAAATGCTATATTTGCTTGTCTGTATGCTTGTTTTGTTTTTTTGAAACCTTATGGTTTGTTTGTGCTTGTGCAATGTTTGTCATTGTGTGTTATGAGGGTTGTTTTACGCATGTTCTTTTCATAATGGTTTTATACTTTTTAAATCTCCTTGTAATGTGATTAGGTATCTCAATATCTACACAGTAAAGCTTGGGATACTAGAGTTGCAGCTGCCCATGCAATCGGGGCTATTGCTGAGAATGTAAAGCACACAAGCTTGAATGAACTTATTGTTGCTGTTGCAACAAAAATATCTGATGCTGGGATATCCAGTAGTGTTGAAGATATGTGTGCATGGCCTTACTTACAATCTAAAATTACTGGAAGTTCATTTAGGAGGTTAGAAAATGTTCATTCGCTGTGAATAGATTTTTTTCCTTTTAATTTGAAATTAAAACTTCATTTCTGGGAGATATTTACTTTTTCACTACTTGATAGCTTTGACCTCAACAAGGTGCTTGAATTTGGGGCGTTATTAGCATCTGGAGGACAGGTAAGATGAACATTTCTCAATAAGGCTGCATCTTCTATTTTTTCTTTTGGGGTTAAAACAGTATAATCATTTTATTTTGTTGATGATATGGTGAGATTGCAATATTGCATATGTTAATACTGTACGTTCTCAAAAGAAAAATTCTAAATTTCTTGAAAAATTTGTCATTATTGCTTAGGAAATTAAGGAAGTTATAAAGAAGCTAAAATAAATTTTTCTTCTGGAAAAAATCGTTAGTATTAAAAATAAAAAATTCTGATATCAGAAACATGAGTGATTTGGACTCTGGGCAAATGATCTAATAATGTGTTTCCTAGGGAGGACTTGGTTGATATGAACATTGCAGTGCTTCAGGCTTTAATATAGATCACCCTCAGCAGGAAAGATTGAGGCTTCTTTAAAGGCCATTGACCTATTTGGGAGTTAATTTGGATGGAAGTGGAAAAATTTCCTAAAGGCAAATATTTAGAGGGTGACATTTTCATTTTAGGAAGACAATTTGCTCTCATTTATATTTTGTTGTTCAATATCTGCTTATCTTATGTAGCTTCCCTCATGATCTGAGAATTTTTGGTGTAGAGGATTGGAAATGACTTTTTGTAGTCTGGAATGGAGAGAAAGGAAGAGAGAATTTGTTATTCAGAAACCTGTTGCTAACCCTAAAAGTGGGGGCTAGGGTATTTGGATTTCCTGATCCAAAATATTTGCCTTGGTATGTGGCTATGGTTTTATCCTCTATAGATTTATTTCTTAGAGGACTAGGTTATAGAAAGTCATTGTGGTTTGCATTACCCAGCATGAAACTACAATTGGAGTGGACCTGTATTTTGTGGTTGCTGTACTTTGAGTGTACTACCAAAACCAACTCTAGCTAATGGGATAAGGCTTGTGTTGTTATTGTTGTACTAGAGCTGGAGTAGTCTCTCTCCACTTGGCATCATTCAACTTCTAAAGAATGCAATAGATGTCTTGATTAAGTACTGAACTTTTGCCCTCAATTATCACATCATATTCATCCTTCAACACTTCATTGAAGTCTAAAATAAAGGGGTTGAAGGTTTTGTTATCTTCGTTTTAATCAACTTAAAGCTTGTGTGCTATGAATGTTTATTGAAATGAATAACTTTCAAGCACTTTTATGGAGCAATAAGGGTGCTTAACTTTGATAAATTTGCAATAAAGCAATCCAAAGTTATACAAACTTATGATGTAAGTAGATTTGGACTTGTTGGCATTGGTTGTCTCTATTTTGCAGTGATTCATCACAAGTCTTGTTGAAAATACAGCATATCTCGAGCACAATCCTGTTTGTAAAGAAATGAGTGACATTTATTCAAGCTGTTGTAAAACCTGGAAGGATGACACACTCGGTGATGTGAAATCTAGTTGGCATTTATTTTATGTTGTAGTGATTTATATTTAGGAATTTATGATTTAATTTATTTTGAATGAATATAGATGAAGCTTTTTCTCTCCTGTTCTCCTCTTTCCCTCTTCTCTCCACTGCTTTGCATTACCTGGTATTATAGGTTTATGTTAGGCTGATTTAAGCAGTGATGCTGTCAAAATAAACTACTACTTCACCAATAACTTGGGCAATTCAAGTCCAGAAATGCATGGTTAAACACCTTTATCAATCACAGTTGTTTTCATCTTTGTCACAATTACTACCTCCATTGAATGGGAGCTAAATAGTGGAAAATGCATCAACCTGATGCTGTCAACAACTGATTCCTTTATATGGAAAAGTATTCACACAGAAAAAACTGAAACAGATTTGGGGAAATACAGTTCATACCCTGGTTTAAGGACCAAGAAATTTTCACTTGGATCAAACAATTGCTGGACATAGGCATAATGACGAAAAGTTCACAAATGCTATAAATTAGACCTGAACCTATGCAAAGAAGTCCCGTGGTTAGGTGATTTGAGCAAGCACATCTCTTAGAGAATAGCTCTTAAAGCAGCTTGGAGTTCTAGATTGGTTGAAGTGCCCCGGATGAATGTCCAAGGTAGTTGACTTGAAGCTTTTCTTGCTGTGCAAGGTAAAAAGATGTGGTGGGTTTGTAGACAGTGAGCTGATTTGAGGCTAAGGCGGCATGAGATTTAAGATTTGACAGTCTTGGAACTGCATAATAGAGCTTATTCAAGAATATAAGCTGAAGGTGAACCATGTGGATGATGGCCTATGATTGAAAATGTAATGTCAAGAATCTTGCTTAGGATTTTTGTGCAATGCTGTTGGGCAACTTTCATTGTCTATCTTATAGAGCTAGGAATTTGGGCCAAGCTTGATGGGCCAAATTGTTTGTTGCAGGCTGTGTTTGATGTTTCTTAGAATTTTTAAGTCAAATTTTATTAGAACTTGTTTATGCTGCGTCCTATCTAAATCTGTGGTTGATGCCTGTGGATCGGATCATTTTGCTGTTGAAAAATTGAGAGAGAGGGGGAGGGAGACATGATTGCTGAAGGAGAATCAGGGAGGCTGAGAGATAAAGGAAGGGTATCTTTGTCTTTTAGTTTTTTAACACTTCTTTATATTTTAAATATAAATTTTGAACAAATATTATCTGATGCTCATAATTCCATCCATTTTTCTATCACAACTGATGTGTTTGTAAAGCTTATTCCCTATTGCAATTCCTTTTCCTTTTTCCACTTCCTAAAAACCATTCCACTGAACCAAATGGGGCCTATCATAACAGAAATGGAAAGCAACCATAGGGCAACAGAATAGTAAATGAGTTATTGGGTCTAAAAAGATTCAAGCCAAACATCTTTCCGACGTAAGTAACCATCAAGAAGCCTTGTGTTATAACAATGCATTTATTATTATTGATTGATTATCAAATTTTCTTGGGAGTTTCCTTTTTCAAACTAATGGACCTGCACATTGGGGTTTCAATAAGACAAATAGAAAAGAGAATAACAGGAGAGGAGGATAAGATAGCGTCCTAAAAGGCCATATATATATATATAAATAGTTGGACCTTGCATTTATTTGTTTAAAATAATTTTTTATTATTTAGTTGCATCTGTGTTTAATGCATTTATGTTTTATTCCTTTTTCCATTTCAGGAGTATGATGTAGGAAGTGATAATGTAAAGAACCCAAAGGAGCGGCTGGCTAGGCAAAAGCAAAATCTTCGGCGTCGGTTGGGTTGGTATCTAGTTATGCTTGTATGATGTTTTGTTTTATTCGAATAATGTATGTGGATTCTTGTTGGCCATCAACAAGAAAAATGAAGTGCTGATTAAATAATGGGGCTGGTGATTGCTAAATATTTTTGTGGAATATGCACAATCCACTTTCATTGATACACAATGCTTGTGGAACTTGTTTGACATGTAAACAAATTCTGTTGTTGAGGGTGCTAATTTTGTATTGAGCACTGTCTGCTATCATCATGTGTGTTTATCTGATAAAGTATTGATTATAGTGGGATAATGGATAATTTGGGAAGTTAGAAATATATTAGGAACAAACTTTATTTTAAGTTATTTTCTGTTTTTGTTGAGTAGCCCTTAAATTTAGGAGTAGTGGGTACTTGTAGATTAAGTCAATTATTTTATTTATTTATTTCAGGTAGTTATGCCCCATTATCTGAGTTATGGATTAATGGGAGCCTTTTTAGGAGTTACTAGTCATTTTTCTATCTATAAATAGAGGTACACTTCATGTAGAAATTATTTGGAAATAAAATCATTATTTTTATCAGTGGAGATTCTCCCTTGGCTTTATTAGTTGTATGAGTTTAAAATTTTTCTCATCTTTTATTAAAGATTTTCCTTTGTCTTTATTAATCTATGAAGCTAGATTTTGATTTGATATTATAAAAAGATTGTCTTCCTTATTTCTCTCTATCTATATTGGATCATATCTTTATTTGTGGTTGTTACTATACGTTTTGCTCTTCCTTTAAATATTGTTAGTAAGTCATTTCAATAACATGCTTTGAGTGCTAATAAATATTTCCACCTAATTTTAGGTTTGGATGTGTGCGAACAATTCATGGATATCAGTGATGTGATAAGAGACGAAGATCTTATGGCATATAAATCAGATTTACGTTCATATGGAATTGATCACAGAGTTTTTACATCTCATTCTGTACATAACATCCAGAAAATGGTTGCCAATATGGTTCCTAGTGTTAAATCTAAGTGGCCAAGTGCAAGAGAACGGAATCTCTTAAAACGTAAAGCAAAAATGAACTCAAAAGACCAGACAAAAGGCTGGTGTGAGGATGGAAGTATAGAGGCATCACTTGCTCAAAATGTGACTTCTAGAGGCACATATCCTGATTCAGTAAATTACAATAAGGTGATGTACCATTGACTATTGTTTGATAGTAGCAATTTACAGTTTATTGTGTTGATGACTTGATTCTACTATATGCTGTGTGTTTAAACTTGTGGCTATTTCGTGAGCATGCCTTCACAAAATGATTCTATTGCACAATCCTAGTTGAAGTTAATCCTTGCTGATTGCAATTTATACGTATTATTTAAATTGCAACCTAGAAAGAAGCAAAGCTAGTTGCATTATATTGTCTTAATCCTTGTTGGTTGCAATTTATACATATTATATTACGTGCATACTAGTAAGCAGCGAAGCTAGTTGCATTACATAGTCTTGTGTCTCTGAAGATTCTTTCTTTACCTGAGTTATCATAATGCAAGTTGATTCAATTTCCATTTTCTAGCTCATGGTATGATTCTATGTTTTGAACTTGATGTTCTATGCAGGCTTTCATTTACGGTAATCATGATGAAGATGGATTTGATCATGATGGAGATGGGCGATGGCCTTTCCATATTTTTGTTGAGCAGCTTATTATTGATATGTTTAATCCTGGTAAAATTAGTCTGTTTCCATTTTCTTTAGCACGTTTTTGGAGAAGTTGGCCAAACGTAAACTTTGAAATTTTTTATTTTATTTTCCTAGTGTTCTTTAAATAATTATTTTCAAATTATTAGTTTGGGAGGTACGCCATGGCAGTGTGATGGCATTGAGGGAGATTTTAACCCATCAAGGTGCATCTGCTGGAGTATTAAAGCTGGACTCACGCTTGGGGGCAGAACTATTTCTTGATTTGGAAGATAAAAGTGTATCAAGTGTCTTAAAGAGAGATAGGGAGATAGATTTGAATTTGCAAATTTCAGTGGATGAGTTTGATTCAAACTCTAAGAGGCCAAGACTTGAAGATGAATCATCCTCTTCCATGGATAGCAGGAACATTTGCAGCAATGGAGGTGATATTGAAATCAGCATTAAAACTGAAACTCTTGGATGCGATTTACCTATTGTTGACAGGAATGGACAATTTAATGTCAACTCTGTGGGCTTGGATCTGGAATCTCATTCCGATGGTTTATGTCATTCATACAAGGAACCTACTAGTATAGCTGAGCAGAAGGATTATTCTGGTGAGGATAAGATTCCATCTGGCAATCTTAATGGGCTTCCTCAGGATTGTGAGCTTATGAGCTTGATTAATGTGGCTAGAAGTTCCTGGCTTCAAAACTATGGATTTCTTCAAGATTGTGTAATACGCTTCTTGTGTGTGTTGTCACTAGATCGGTATGACATTTTCATTTTGTATGTCTTGTGGGGAATGAACTAGCTCTTGCTGTACATCGATTAACATAGCTTAGAAGCAAAAAATATTTTTTGTGGTTTCTTGTCTTTTCTTTTCTTAATCATAGGCGAAGTATGTTTATTTGCTATATAGGGCTGCCTTTTTACCTGCAAGTTTTTACTAATCTTTCTTTGATCATTTTATGTTGTTGCAGCTTTGGAGATTATGTTTCTGACCAGGTTGTTGCTCCTGTACGGGAAACCTGTGCACAAGCATTAGGCACTGCATTTAAGCACATGCATCCGGCATTAGTAAATGAAACATTAAATATATTGTTGAAAATGCAGGTAAATGCAATGTAAGGATGCATTTTCCTTTTTTTATGTGTAATTTGACGTTGCAAGTGTGAATGAAGTAAAGAGAAACAAAGAAGGAAAAGCCTTTGTGAAATGTAGCCTGGGAGTCTGAGATGCTTGAAATTTATTTATAGGCCTAGACAAGTCATCATTTACAGACTTATTAAGACCTACTTATTACAGCCTGATTAAAGCCAATATATGGTTATTGTCTGGCCAGCATTTACACTGTAAATTAACTTAAATAGTATGGTCCTCTTAGTTGTGATTTATTTGTCCTTCCTACACCTCCTTTTACGTAGCTCATTTTCTTTCAAGCTTTTTATTTTTTATTTCCTGACTTTGATTAGTGTTTAATCTTGATGATTTTGTTCGTGTTTTGTTCAGTGTAGAGCAGAATGGGAGATTCGTCATGGAAGCCTTTTAGGTATCAAATATTTAGTTGCTGTGCGGCAGGTATATGTCCATTTGCCATCCCTTCATGTTTTTTTTACTCTGCATGCAAGAACATTATGCTTGTGCCTAATACCTCGCAAGTTATGCATATTCATTTTTGCCATTATTTTGATTTTAAGTTTGAAGCTAGGAATACAAGAGGAAACCTTTGGTTTGAACACATGTTTAAGTATATTGTTAACACACAAAACTATGGTACTTATAGAGACCTTACAACCTGTACCTTGAATATTATAGTTATATGCAACTCAAACTCTTGTTAGTAGTACAGTTGCTGTTTTTGTTATGTTTATGTTTTGCTCCTATAGTAAAATGATGATAAAACTTGTAACTAGTGTTCATACCTGTGGTGAGAGTTGTGAGTTTCTTTCAGGTTTTTACAAGAAGAAACATAAATTTTAGATCATTAATTATGCGTATGGTTTTCTTTACCTTGTGACCACTGGTATGATCTAGCTTTCCTTGCTTGTCTCTTGTGTCATGAGCTTAGAGGTTAACAGGATGTGGCTATATAACGATTTATGGTGAGAGCAAATATCTTGTCTCTTCCCCCTTTGTTATGTGGTTCTGTGTACTTGTTTTTGATAGATCATAGCAGGGCTTTTAGTGTGGTGTTGTGGAGGCTAGAATGTTCTTTTACTTATTTAAGAGAGCTCTTTGATGGTAGTGAGATTAGCAGGAATAGCCAGCAATGTAGAATGGAGTTGGTACGATCTATCTAGGATTAGAAATTACCATCTCGTTGATGATTGTTTGTGGTGGTGGAATTAAGTGCAAGTTGGATATGCCATGCCTTGAGTAGTATTTGGTATCATTCGACATCATTGTGAGCTTCTAAGAGAAGGCTGTTGAAATTGTTTGTTGATAGGTTAGCTTTTGATGCAAGCAAAATAGTTGAAGAGTCACTGAAAAAGTATTAATTTAAAGGAAAAAATTGTATGTTCACCAGGAAATGGGGGTAAGATGCGCAACAAAACTTCATAGGAGACATCCCTATGAGAAGTACAAGGTTGTAGAGGTCAATCAAGAGATTTCATTGTGATTCCTTTTAAATTCAATTGTCAACTCTATATGTCCTTGCAAAGTTATCTTGCTTCTTCCCTGCAAATGCATGTGGTTTGACAAGGGACCTCTGTTTAAACTAGATCTTATATTTTTCCTATGCTTCTCTTCAAGAGTTAGAAAGATTGTTAGCAGTAGCAGCTTGCAAGATTAATGCTAAACTATCAACTGAAAGCTTAGTCTTTTCTTCATTCATGTGTTGCATCTTTTATTCATTTGAAATTTATGATGTTTTGTAGTGTTCTGATTGTTCTCTTAATGACCCTAGGAAATGCTTCCAGAATTGCTTGGACGTGTTCTTCCTGCATGCAAATTTGGGTTGGAGGATCCAGATGATGATGTCCGAGCAGTTGCTGCTGATGCTTTAATACCAGCTGCAGCTTCAATTGTTGCTTTACAGGGTCAAACTTTGCACTCAATTGTAATGCTACTGTGGGACATTTTGCTTGATTTGGACGACTTGAGCCCATCCACTAGCAGGTGTCTGATCGTTTACAAGTTTAGTAGTAATTTTGTGAGGCCTTTAGTTACATTTTTTGTTTCACTTTTATGTTGATATTTCACAATGATGAATATCATAAACATCTGTTTCATATTCCTTGCTCTCAATTATAGAAACTATATGTTGACGTCCAGAAACCTACCCAAATTCAAAAACCTCCAAACTCCCGTTCAAAAACTGCTAGAAAGTTACCCAAATTCTCCTTTAGTCCTAATATGCCCTTGAAAGTATTTGGTTGTGTTGTATTCATACATAAAAATGATGGTAGTCAGTCAGATTCAAGAGCTGTGAAGTGCATTTTTCTTGGGTGCACCCCTAATGAAAAAGTATACGAGTGTTATTGCCCACCCAACTCCAAAGAGTATGTGTCACTAAAGATGCTGTTGAGTTTGTTTTTTTGTGATGTAGTGCGTATGGGTGTTCTGTTCAGGTTGTTTTCTGGTGATGCAGTGGGTATTGGTGTTATTTGTTCAGGGTTTGGAGGGACTATTGTGGCTTTAGGGTCCAAGATTAACCATTCTTTTGCTCGATAATTGTCCCCCAAAATGGGTAACTTGGGGTAATAAGCATCTTCGATAGAAAAAACAGCATCTAATGTGACAAACATTTTTCATGTTGTTGGACAATAACCCTTGTACCCTTTTTGTGTTGGAGAATACCCAAGAAAAATGCTCTTTACAAGGATAACAATGGCTTAAGTTCTGTTATCCAGCCTCTCACAACTTCAAACACATTAGTAAACCCATGTAAAAACTCACAGGTCCTCTCTTTCTCCACCAGTTGTCTGTATCGCTGAGCATTAGTACTACAACTCCATTTCATGGACATCGAGCAAAGCCACTTGTTGTCATAGATGTATGAGAGTTGCAATAATGTTGGGTCATTGTCATGCTACACTGTTTTAATTCTCTGAGTTTGTCATCTTGCCTGAAATGAAGTCACTGTGTTCTCCATTGCTGGGTGTGTCTGTTTAGCTAATCCCATATTTCCTTTGCGGTTTTTGCAAGCAAGTACTGTTCTCTTATCTTTGTTGTCATGGAATTGCACAACCATGCCATTACCTGGTTGTTTTTTGTGAACCATGTATCGTAGGTAGGATCATTGTAACTAGGTTGTTTTGCTGTTCCCATTGTATACTTCTCTTTTTGGTGACCACACAGACACATAAGGACACTTTGGGACCACTCAAGATAATTGCTTCTGTTCAGCTTGTGCGCAGTCACCATCTATTGAGTTTCTGACAACACATTGATTTCTGAACCTCTTGTTGCTTAAAGAAGATGAGGTTTGCATTTTTTGATTCGTTCTAACCATCAGTGCAGACAGGGTGTTATCTGCATTGCACCCAAATAGAGGAGGGAAATTGTGTGGATGCATTTATTGTTACTGTTGTGCTGATACCATATCGTATGAATAGAGTTTTCTGCTCTATATATGTGGTTAGACCTAGTATTTATTATATTCAATGTAAATATCTGTTATTATTATGTGGGATATTGGGTAGTTAAGAGTAGGAGGCTTTTACAAGATTTATTTCCTATTTCTCCTCCTCTAAATCAATCTTCATTATTCTCGGAGATATGATTGCTTTCTCTCCTGTATATATTCTCATACATACCTAATATGTATATACAAGAGTTTCTCGGCTCATTCACTACATGGTATCAGAGCACCGCGACTTCCCAGTGCTGTCCGATGCCGAGAACTCTGAGACAGAGAGTACTGAGCACGAGTTGAACTCAGTTCATAGTTCTCCCATGTTGAACAGTGATAGGTCCTCAAAGACTGATCCGAGCAGGGTAGGTGGTCCCTTCGGGTTGACTACCGGCCACGAAGGATCATCGGTACACATTATATCAGTGAAACTAAACGGTACAAACTACTGTATGTGGGCACAAGCTATGAAACTCGCGATCGGAGGCCGAGGAAAAATGGGCTATCTTGATGGCTCATCGAAGATCCTAGAAGACCCCAAGACGCAAGAGTTCTAGCAATGGCACACCGAAAATTCACTGGTATCATCATGGTTAATAAATGCCATGATTCCAGAAATTCAACAAAGCTTTATGTTTCTCCCCTAGTCCATGAAATCTGGAAGGCTATACGAGATTCATACTCTGATGGGAAGGACTTAGCTCGAATATAGGAGCTCAAAACGAAGGCATGGACACTGCAACAAGGAGAATGTGATTTCACTGCCTTCTGGTTAGAACTGAATGCTATATGGCAGGAACTAGACTTAATGACAGATGTGGAATGGTCTAGCAGTAGTGATGCAATTTGGTATAAGGAGAAAGTTGAAAATGAGCGTGTATTTCAGATTCTTGCTGGATTAAATCAGTCCCTGGATGATCTACAAGGATGAGTCTTGAGTCGTGCACCACTCCCATCAACCAGGGAAGTTTTTTCTGAGGTACGTCGTGAAGCCTCGAGACGCAAGGTCATGCTTCTTGGCACTACCCCTACTCCAGTACCTACTCTAGACTTTGCTGCTCTTGTAAGCAAGAGTAGACGCAAATCAGAAGAATCAGAAAGGAAAGGTTACTTGTGAACATTGCAAGAAGATTGGGCATACCCATGACACTTGCTGGGATATCCATGGAAAATCGACTGATTGGAAGCCAAGAAAAGGAAAAACACGAGGATACCAAGCTTCTCATGATGTGCCACCAGATAAAATAGATTCAACCTCATCAGCACTTGAGATTGATAAGGAACAGCTCGGTAAGTTACTCGAGATGCTCAGTATGCTTCAGAAGAATGAGAAAAATCAAAAACCAAATCATATTGCGTTTGTGGCTTATAAAGGTAACTGTGCCTTACTTGCCTCTACTAGTAATTTCAAATGGATTGTGGATACAGGGGCAACTGATCATATGACTTCAGATTCTAAGCTATTTAGTACCTATGTCCCTAGTGCTGGAAATCAGACAGTAAGTACAGCAAATGGGTCATTTTATCGATAGTAGGAACAGGCAATGTTGTTATCTCTGAAGCTATGAAATTAGAACATGTTTTACATGTACCATATTTGGCCTATAATTTGTTGTCCATTAGTAAATTAACTAAACAGGCTAATCGTTGGGCTCACTTTTGTTCCACTCATTGTATTTTTCAAGACCTCTCATTGGGGAAGATTATTGGGAGTGCTAAGGTGCATAATGGTCTTTACTACCTTGATGAATCAATCGTGAGTAGTCTTTGGTCTCGAATTCAATGCAATGTCGCATCCACTTATGAAAATAAAGACTTTAAAGATCTTATGTTATGGCATAGGAGACTAGGTCACCCAAATTTTCAATATTTATGCCGTCTGTTTCCAGAATTTCAAGTCAATAAAAATGCTCCATTTCATTTTATTGATTGTGAGCTCGCTAAACATCACAGATCCGTTTTCAAACCTATTGAGTACAAATCTACTCGTCCTTTTTCTATCATTCATAGTGATTTGTGGGGTCCTACTCTAGTCACTAATCGAACTAATACAAAGTGGTTCATCACATTTATTGATGATCATACTAGGATGTGTTGGGTTTACTTATTGCAAGATAAATCCTCTGTTCCCTCTGTGTTTTCTGAGTTTTGTACAATGATAATTTGATACTACAATTCAAGTGCTTCATACTGATAATGGAACTAAATACTTCAATAACACCATGCATATGTTTCTAACAGAATATGGAATTATTCATAAAAGCACTTGTTGTAATACTCCTCAACAAAATGGCATTGCGGAAAGGAAAAACAAACACCTGTTAGAAGTTGCACGTGCTTTACTCTTCACCTACAATGTTCCTAAATTCTTTTGGGGTGATGCAATTCTCACAGCTACATACTTAATCAACCGCATGCCAAGTCGGGTTCTCTCTTATACTTCACTGCTTGAAAAATTACGAGAATGTCACTCTGTCACTCACCTCACCACTAATCTTCCCGTCAAAATCTTTGGCTGTACCACCTATGTTCATTCTCATCATTCCCATAAATTGGAACCCAAAGCTATCAAATGTCTCTTTCTTGGTTACTCCTCCACACAAAAGGGGTATAAATGTTTTGACCCTACTACCAAACGACTTTACATTACCGGGACGTTACCTTTGCTGAAAATGAACCTTTTTATCCAAATGCTTCAATTCAGGGGGAGAGGGGGAGTGATTTTCAGCCTTTGGAAAGTGAGAGAAGTGAGAAATACTCAATCCGTGTTCCTTTGTTCCTGAGCTCAGATCCTTTATTACCTATACCAGAAAATTCTCGGGTTCTTAGGCCAGAAACTGAATTGAAAAGTCTTTAAAAATATAATAAAGATGCTGGTATTGCACTGGACAAGACACCAATAACCTACTCAAGGAAGAAATGGAAAAAAAGGGAGACTATTATGACTGATGCACAACCAGAATCTGAACTGAAAGAGGTTCCTGAAGTGGAGAACGTAGAAGGTGCTGTTTTTCCTCAAGAACCCGAGGTAGAAGCAGTGACCGAAATGGAGGAAGTGGATGAGTTAGACCTACCTATAGCTCTCAGAAAGCAACCGAGGGCCTGCACACAGCATCCTATTCAGAGTTGTTAGTTACCATACATTATCCTCACAATTTCGTGCATTTATAACTGATCTTGACAAGATAAAAATTCCTAATGATGTGCATGAAGCACTGAGTGTACCTGAATGGAAGGAGGCTGTAATGGAGGAAGTAAATGCCTTAGAAAAGAATGACACATGGGAGATAGTAGATCTTCCAAAAGGAAAGAAAATTGTGAGCTATAAGTGGGTATTTACCCCTAAATATGATGCTGATGGGAAATTAGAAAGATTAAAAGCAAGGTTGGTGGCAAGGGGGTTTACTCAACATATGGCTTGGATTACAAAGAAACATTTGCACCTGTGGCCAAGCTTAACACTATCAGAATTTTGATTTCTGTAGCTGCAAACTTGGACTGGCCCCTACATCAACTAGACATAAAGAATGCCTTCTTAAATGGTGACCTAAAAGAAGAAGTTTTCATGACTTGACCCCCAGGTTTTGAGGAAGGGAGAACCAATCAAGTGTGTAAGCTGAAAAAAATCTTTGTATGGGTTAAAGTAATCACCTCGAGCTTGGTTTGACAGATTCTTAACAGTTTTGAGAGCTGAAGGGTATAAGTAGGGGTTGGCTGATCACACTATGTTTGTGAAGAGGGAAAATGGAAAAAGATGTATCCTCATTGTATATGTTGATGATATAATTGTCACAGGTGATCATAAGGAGGAAGTGGATAGAATAAAGAGGGCTTTAGGAAAGGAGTTTGAAGTGAAAGACTTGGGTAACTTGAAGTATTTTCTAGGTATGGAGGTTGCAAGGTCACAGCAAGGGATTTATGTGTCCCAAAGAAAATATATTATTGATTTACTTGCCAAAACTGGCATGTTGGGATGCAAACCTATAGACACACCCATTGTTGTTAAGAAAAAAGGGAAGAAACCGAAGGAAAATCAGGAAGGTGAGGCAAATGGAGTTGAATCCAAGAAAGATGGTTGTGGGGAGGAGGAGGAAGAAGAAGAAGGAGAAGGAGCCAGTAGACAAAGAAAGATACCAAAGATTAGTTGGTAAACTAATTTATCTCTCTCACACTTGACCAGACATAGCTTTCGCAGTAAGCATTGCAAGCTAGTATATGTGCGACCCTAGAGAGAGGTATATGGAAGCTGCAGACAGAATCTTGAGGTACTTAAAGGGCACACCTGGTAAAGGATTGCTGTTTAAGAAACAAAACCTAAGATCTATAGAAATATATACAGATGCAGATTGGGGAGGAACATACGAGGATAAGAGGTCAACATCAGGTTACTGTTCCTTCGTATGGGGAAATTTAGTCTCTTAGAAGAGTCAGAAGCAAAGAGTGGTCTCAAGAAGTAGTGCAGAATCAGAACTAAGGGCTCTAGCTCAAGGCATCTCAGAGGTACTATGGGTAAAAAGAGTCATGGATGAGATACATGTCAAAATTGATTCCCCATTGAAGCTTTATTGTGATAATAAAGCTGCAATAAGTATGGCTCTGAATCCAGTTCAGCATGCAAGATCCAAACATGTAGTGATTGACAGACATTTTATAAGGGAAAAGGTTGAAGGAGTCGTTTGTCTCATTTATCTGCCAACAAGACTCCAAGTTGCTGATGTGCTCACCAAAGGATTACAAAGAACAGCATTTGATAGTTGTATAAGCAAGTTGGACATGATTAGTATCTATGATCCAACTTGAGAGGGAGTGTGGTTAGACCTAGTATTTATTATATTCAATGTAAATATCTGTTATTATTATGTGGGATATTGGGTAATTAAGAGTAGGAGGCTTTTATGAGATTTATTTCCTATTTCTCCTCCTCTGAATCAATCTCCATTATTCTTGGAGATATGATTACTTTCTCTCCTATATATATTCTCATACATACCTAAGATGTATATACAAGAGTTTCTCGGCTCATTCAGTACAATATATTATTAAATAGAAAGCAATTAATACATATCTATACACACACACAGGCAGTGCATGTGTTCAGCTGATAAGAATAATCTAGAGCAAAATCACTATATCCTATTATTTAATCTAAGCCAGATAAAAGTATAATACAAAAAATAGAATAGATAATTAAAATAAGACAACTGGAACTATGTGTTGTGGGTCTGAGTCTTAGGTCTTGCAACATACACTAACCCTTTAGATATATGGGGATAAGCTGGTTTTGTTGGTGATCTTTATGGTAGTTCACTAGAAGGGTGTCTTGCTCTCTCCGGTTTGTTAATTTTGTACCCTTGGAGAAAAGGAAATGGAGTTGGCAGCTCCATTGTGCTTTTTAATTCTATTCTAGTTTCTAGTTTAGAAAACAGTGGAGTTTCAGAAGTTTGATTATTATCTCTAACCATAACTTCAGATTTTTTTTTTGGGGGGGGGGTAGGTTCATATTGGTTATGCTGGTATAAGTTGATGCATTTCTATTTTCTTTGCAGTGTCATGAATCTTCTGGCAGAAATTTATTCTCAGGATGAGATGGTTCCGAAGATGAATGGAGCAATTGAATTGGGAGATACAGAAATGGGTAATCTAATTGGAGTTGGTGGCAGCAGTGGTAGTAGCTGTAGTATTCATGACAAAAATCCTTATATGCTCTCGATGCTGGCACCACGCTTGTGGCCCTTTATGAGGCATAGCATCACCTCTGTTCGGTTTTCAGCAATTCGCACTTTGGTAATTTTTCTCCATTTCATGATACTTGTGAAAACCATTGATCTCATATATCGGTCCTTATAACTTCTTTGCAAGCTGGCCTGTTTCTAATATTTTTGGTGCTTATAGTGATGTCCTGTCAATAATTTTTCTTGCACAGGAGAGGCTGCTTGAAGCTGGATATAGGAGAAGCATGTCTATGGAATGTAGATCTTCATTCTGGCCTTCTTTTATACTAGGAGATACCCTTCGAATTGTATTTCAGAATCTGCTATTGGAATCAAATGAGGCTATATTGCAGTGTTCCGAGGGAGTTTGGAGGCTTCTTGTTCAGGTTATAATCTAGTTAGAGAACGTTGCTTAATAAACTTTTTGAACTGTGTTATTTTATGGTTTTTTTTGGTAAGTCATAAGCAACCTAAATGTTTTGATATTCAATTCAGATTTTGGCTTAAATCTGTTTAGAATCGTTGAATAACTTGACCGTACAACTGGAGTTTTGCATAGATGACATACTAAAACACAATACCATGGGATTGCTGTTGCTGCCTGACTAAACTCATTATTACCTACATCATTTAGCTACACTGCAATTGAGGATATAGCCAATTTGTTTTTAACGTAAGGGAATGTGATAATGTTTGATTTATAATGCATTATATTGTGTTGGAGGTTGTCATTGCATTTGGAACTCTGGGAATCCCTCTAGTTGGTAACTTCTTTCTGAAGATTTCATTTCATAACATTGTCTAACTTTGTTGTATGCAAGTAGCCTTCTTTTTATGTTGCTCTATTACTATAGTTTATGGAATCTTCTAATTATTATCTCTCTTTATTGCCTACTTTTCCAGAATACTATCAGTGTATCTCATAAAGTTGAGGAATGAGGAGATTTTGTGGGATTTGCTTTGGTTTAGAGCAAATTTAGTGATTTTGTAATTGTAGGTTTTTAGGGCAAAGAAGTTGTAGTTTTTATTTTTATTTCTTGAACAGAATAACTGAATAAAACTAGGTTGAAAAGAGCATGAGATATCAATTATTATTTCTTGATAGCTTTAGGTAACAAATCAACTAAAATTCGATTTCAAAATGAACAACAAGAAGCCTTATCCCAATAGGTAGGTGGGGTTGGCTACATTGATTGCACAATGTCATTGTGCTTTATCATCAACCAGGTCTTTGAAAATATTGCTAAGAGGTCTTGTTCAATAACTTTTATAAGTGTTCTCTTTATTCTTTTTCTACCTCTTTTTACAGGTCTCAAGACTATGCGTTTCCCTCTCCTCACCAGTACTTCTCATGGTCTTTTCTGTATATGTCCAAGTCATCTCATATAATTTTCTACCATTTTCCTATCAACATATGTCATGCCCACTTTTTCTCATATATTATTATTATTATTTTTAATGTATGCTCACATATCTATCACAATATTCTTATCTTTGCTGCTTCAACTATATACTTTTATTGTCCCTTTAAATTCTAGCATTTACTACCATATAATATGACCGATCTTATAGTAATTCAATGAAGCTTTCTTTTAAGCTTATTAGGTACCTTTTGATTATAAATAACTCTTGTAGCCTTTTTCCATTTAAACCTCCCAACTTATATCCTATGTGTAACGTCCCCATCAATTTCACTATCATTTTGAATAATTTCTCCCGAATATCTTAACTTTTTCACTTTTAGTATGATCTAATCTCTCAGATCTCACTTCCAAATTACTAATGACTAACCTCTTATGAAAAATGCAATGCATATATTATGTTTTACTCCTAGACTAGCAAAAATCCTTTGACTCCAAGGTCTTCCTCTATAGCTCAAGTTTCGAGTTAATATGTTCTTTTAATTTTGCAAGAAGAACTATATCATCAACAAAAAATATGCAATTGGGGATTTCCTCTTAAATATGATTAGTCAGAATATATCTTGAACCAAGTGAAATAGGTAAGGGCTCAAAGATGATCTCTGATGCAGGCCAATGCTTACATGAAAGTCCTTTGTCTAGATATTCTTATACTAGTTGTTGCCTCCTTGTATATATCTAGTCTAGCTCTAATATAAGCAACTCAAATTCCATTCTTTTCCAAGACGCTTCAAAGTACTTGTGTTGGTATACGGTCATAAATTTTTTCCAAATCAGTGAAAACCATTTGTAAGTCTCTGCTTTTGCATCAACACTTATCCACTAATCCCCTTAGTAGATAAATTACTTCTATAATAGACCTTCTTGGCATGAAACCAAATTGGTTCTTAAAAATATTATTCTCTAACCTCAACTTTTGTTTAATCACTCTTTCCCGCAATTTCATTGTATGACTCATGTTTAAACTCTTTATAGTTTGCACAATTTTGAATTTCACTTTTGTTATTGTAAATTGAAACTAAGGTGCTTCTCCTTGATTCATTAGGAATTTGTTTGGATGGTAAGATCTCATGAAATAGCTTAGCCACATAAAACCCTCTTCACGTAAGCATTTTAATGAGACCCAAACCAGTAATACAATAGAAACAATAATTAAGACAATAACAGCAATAAATCAGAGAGGAAAATGTCGAGGTTTTTATATTAATGCGCTGAATGAACCGAATTAGAGTTACAAGGACACTCTTTGATTCTGGCAAAAACTCTGTTTCTTTTATAAGATCAAAATAATTCCAGCCACCAGATTACAAGCTTTAAAATAAGAGTTCCACTCCTACTGGCATTTGAGAGGCCAGTCTCTCCTCACAATCTCATCCTTTTCTCTGCCTCCCACTTCCCAAGCAAAAGACTACTAATACCTTCAGCATGGCCTACACATAGCCCATACTACCCAAAAGATCCTAATCATGACAAAAAGATCACAAATTACTGTTCCTTATGGCTAGGGACTGAAGGAAAAGTCCTTGGACTAGTTAAAGTATTTCTAGTAGAGTTATTTCTCCCCTTTGACTTCCTCTGATATGTCTTAGGAAAATAACGGGCTCTATCATTACCCTTGCCTAAAAGTTTCACCTTATCTTCAAGGGAAAAAGTTGGAAACTGTTGGCAAATCATTTCTACACATTCCCAAGAATTCTCAAATTCTGGTAAATCTTGCCATTTAACCAACACCTCTCACTGTCCATTCATAAGCTTGTGAACCTTTCTCATATCTTGAGGCTGCACCTGTAGTTCAAATTCATTGGAAAGTATTGGGGGAATGGAAGGTTGTACCACGGCAGCTGAAACTGTTTGCTTGAGCTGAGAAACATGGAATACAGGGTGAATGCGGGCAATGGGTGGAAGTTCCAGCTTGTAGGCCACTTTCCCGATCTTCTCAAGAACCTTGAAAGGTCCATAAAAATGTGAGCTAAGCTTCTCACTGTCCCTCCGAGCCAAGGTTTTCAACCGATAAGGTCGAAGTTTCACATAAACAAGGTCCCCAACCTTGAAATGCTGATCCTTACTATGCTTGTTAGCTTGCACCTTCATTTTGCTTTGAGTCTTAACCAAATTTTCCTGTATTTGCTCAATGATCTGATTTCAAATTTGAATCTGTTCATTCACATCTTCTATAGCTGAGGGTTTGCCACTAAATTTTAAAAAAGTAGGGGGATCCCTTCCATACATTGCCTTAAAAGGTGTCATGCTAGCTGCACTATGAAATGAAGTGTTGTACCAATATTTAGCTCAAGACAACCATTTAGCCGATTGAGTAGGCTTTTCATTGGCAAAACAGCGCAAGTAAGTCTCCAAGCTCATATTTATCACCTCCGTTTGTCCATCAGATTCCAGATAGTAAGATGAGCTAAGGCAAAGTTGGGTTCTAGCTTGTTTGAACAATTCTTGCCAAAAACGGCTAATAAAAACCCTATCTCGGTGTGAAACTATGGTTTTAGGGAAATCATGCAGCTTCACAACCTCAGCCACTTTAGCAACATCCTTTGCAGAAAAAGGGTTGGCAAGAGGGAAAAAATGAGCATATTTTGTGAGTCTATCCACTACTACTAGAATGGTGTCATACCGCTTTGATTTGGGAAGCCCGGTGATGAAATCAATGTTAATATCTTCCCAAACACTTTGAGGAACAGTTAATGGCTGTAACAGACTAGCAGGAGTTAAAGCTTGATACTTATTCTTCTGGCACACCTCACAACTTGCCACATATTGCTGGACATCTCTCTTCATCCCTTCCTAATACATTACATTGGATAGCCTCTTGTAAGTATGTAAATAACCCGAATGCCCCCTTATTGGAGAGTCATGGAATTCTTTGAGTAGCAAGGAAATTCTAGTGGAGCTTTTTGGTAACACTAGTCTGCCTTTGTAGTGCAAGCAGCCATGGACCATGATGTACCCTTCCACCTCATTTTTATCCGTGATGATTTACTGCAGAATTTTTCTCAATTTTGAGTTAGCCTGTACCTCTTTATCCAGTCTTCGACATTATTATACTGCCATAGGGAAAATGCCAGCAATTCCAGGGATTCTTCTTGTCTGGATAATGCATCAGCAGCCCTATTTTCTTTTCCAGGCTTGCACACATTCTCAAACTTGTATCCCAATAATTTAGAGCCCATTTCTGCTGGTTTTCTTCCACTATTCTCTGCTCCAGCAAGTACTTCAAGGCCTTTTGATCTATACGAATGATGAATTTATGCCCCCAAAGGTAATGTTGCCACTTCTTGATTGCCATGACAATAGCCATGAGCTCCCTTTCATAAGTAGAGCATTGGTGAGCTTGAGTAAAGAGTTTTTGGCTATAACATGCTACAGGTCTGCCTTGTGTTATAACAGCCCTTACACCAGTACCAGAGGCATCAATTTTTAACTCAAAAGGAATGGTGAAATCAGGCATTGCACGTACAGGTAATGTGATCATAGTTGTTTTGAGTTTTTCAAAAGCCGTTTCTGCTTCCATTGACCATTTAAATGAGTCTTTTTTGAGTAAATCAGTGAGAGGACTAGCAATCTTCCCATAATTCTTGACAAACCAACGATAATATCTGGTTAGCCCTAGGAATCCTCTCAAGGATTTCACATTCTTAGGCTTTGGCCACTTCATGCTTTCTATCTGGGCTGGATCAGCTTGAACCCCTTCTTGTGAAATGAGTTGCCCCATGTATTCAATCTCGGACTGAACAAAGCTGCACCTCTTTAAGTTCGCCATGAGCTGATTTTCTTTCAGTATAGAAAATACTGTCCTCAGATATTTCAAATGGGATGTTACATCACTGCTATATCTAAGAATACAACAAACAACAACAACAACAAGCCTTTATCCCACTAGGTGGGGTCGGCTACATGGATTGCAAGACGCCATTGTGCTCTATCATTTATTAAGCTTTTAGAAATATTATTAATTA